CAAAGAGATCATCTTCTACTTAATTCATACTGTGTTTTTTGGTCTTTTCCGCCAAATTTCTGTACGAAGAAAAAAAAACATGTAAAACATATGAACATATAGGAAGATATGGAAAAAAATAGATAAAAATTCCTAATCATACAAAAATAGTGAAATATAATGGAATTAAGGAAAAACTAACAAAGCATTTTGTACAAGTCAAAAAGAATCCGGAACAAGATTATATTGATACAGAAGAATAAGGTAAATTTTTACAAAGGACAAAAGGACAAAGACAGAAGATTTCATCAAACAAATTTAACATGTAATGGAAATAGTAATTTTTACAATTAAACAACAGAACTATAAATAAATGGAAGAAATGCTTGTTTATATATACGAAATACAGACATATAGTTTACTAACATTGAAAGAAAATGGAAAATAGAGGTTTTAGAATTAAACAACAAAAAATACAAAACATACAATTCGATGATAAAAGTAAGAATACATTTAACAAATGAGAGATGGCTTTTATATACATTAAAATAGAAGAAAAAAAACACATTTTATATCAGCAATTCAAAACTTTTATACCAATATATTCATATTGCAAGAATAGCGAATGGAGAAAAGAAGGTGAAAAGAAAACCGCGATTTGAGGTAAAGTCTGGAAAATGAAGAAAAAAATCAATACAGAAACTATCACAACCACCAGAAGAAAATTTTTATTAAATATTCAGTCACACAAACCCCTTGAAAAGAATTATATTAAAGTGAGTGTATGAATATTATAATAAATTATACATTTAATATGATTATATTATAATAATATAATTATTATCTTATACCCAATATTGCATACATACATAACTCTATTATATGTAATTACTGATAAATCGCAGACTTTTCAGAATAAAAAGGAATAAAATAAAGAACGACTTGTCGTTTGTGAAAATGATAACACTTGTTGTTTCACTCTTTGCGCGCAAGGAAATGGAATTGTTGCAATTTTATGTATCAATCAGACTTCTTGTCGATCTCTTTGATGTTCTTCCCTTGGTCCTTTTCAGTCCTCTTCTTCTGCACAATCACACAGAGTCGCCTTAAGAGCTCACCGTGAGTACAGTCTCAATCAATTTGGATACACTTTCGCACAGCCCCATCAAAATCTAACCCCTTTGGCTGTGATTCGGCCAGAATAAAAAACCATCAGAGGGTCCTGTGAGATAAATTGAAATTTTGTTTGTTTTATTGATGCCAAATCGAATTGAAAGAGAAATGATGAGCGCCTCAGGGTGGATTTGTGTGGACAAAGATGAAAGGGTTTCCGGTCCGAGAATTCATGAGGCCCAGAATAACTCGTGTCATTCAATTACAATTGGCTTGTGTGCGCAATTGAGAGATATCGAATGCAGTCTCGGCAATGGTATGCATAGGGGATGAAAATTGTGCAGAATGTTTGGATAAATCAATGCGCAGGTAAGTTTAACAATCAAATTGTAATACAATTTCTCTGAACTGTAAATATTGCATAATGTCGTCATTAGCAAGCACATCATTGTGTACATTTTTAACACTTTCAACGCAATTTAACCCCTTCACGGGCTAACAATCGTTATTGTAGTCGAGCCAGCGAAGGTCTGACTGCCAGTCTGGAAGCCAACCAACACGTTCTCCATTAAAATTTCGTGTAATTTAGCACACATCATCGCGCTTGACTGAGCCAAAATTGGTTCATCTAAATTCTGGTCATGAATTTGACCACCTCCTGAGGGGATGACAAGCCTGTCACCCTCCCGCCCCTGGTTGACATGCAGATTCCCCTTTTTGCCGCATTTAGTCGTCACATCAAAGGTGGGCCAGCGAAGACAAGATGTGTGTGACTTCTTAGGCGGGCGCGACTGAGAAAATTGGAAATCTCGCCAGCAGGTATTGAGAGGGAAATCCATCCCCTCTGAATATTCCGGCCCTTAAACCAACAAACCCTAAGCCATATGATTCATAAATCTCCGTAGTGGAGATATAATTCTTTGAATTATTGTGCCTTAAATGCCGCGAAAGCCCCTTGTGAGCGGGAAAGGGTTTTCCTTTATGGCGAAAAGTATGCACATTATAAAATTCAACCCCCTTCAGCCATGGATTCAGACAAAAGAGTAGAATAAGCAGTGTTGGAAGGTCTGTTTGCCCAGAGAGTTTCTTCTAATGAATTCACCACCCGCAATAAAGTAAATGAAGCTCTTCGTGGTTATCGGCTACATTACGTGTTTTTCGAAAGATTTCACGTGAATATTCACAATTAAATGCAGTGAATGTTGTTCTAGCTATCCAAATGAGTGTTGTTAGTGCTAATTTTATGGCATGAAAGAATTTCCCTCGCACGCTGGAGATTGATTTTCTCTTTTTTTTCATTTCCACACCCTTTCGGAAATCACAGGGCAAATATTAAAAGTATAGAGAAGACCGGCAAAAGGCGTCCCGTCGCATTTGCTGACAGAGAAAAGGTATGTTTATAATCAAATTTATTCCATGGCTTCAGCTGTCTGGCGAATGTGTTATTAAAAAATAAAATGAATTCAGCACGAGAATCGCGCAATTTATTGTTCCCATGCACATTTCGATACCCATGCAGTGTTGGCAATTTATCTGGTGAACACCAATAACTGCACACTGCAAACCCTCTCGAAATGTATGGTCAGGGCATGACATGCCATCGAGGACGCGTCTCTGCGAGACACTTCTGGGCAGGGAAGAATTGTGTGTGAAGAAATGCCCGGGCGAAGAGGACCGAGGCACGTTCTCTCGACCGTAACTGCTATCAAATCAAAGGAAAAAAGATGCTATTTTCTTTGAGCTGCAGAGCCAGGGGTGGTGGCTCTTGGGGATGATGCAGTGTCCTGACGAAGCCAAAAGAATAAACACACACCCGCCAAGTACTAGTTTGGACAGAATTGTGCTCTGAATATCAATTGAGTGTGAATGTGCTCACTGTTCTCTGTCCCACGAAATCACAACCCTCAAGCATGATTGAATGCGTTGCACAAGCATCCCCAATGCTCAAGTGACTTTTGCCAGATATTTTCCTAATTCTTCTCTCTTTTAAAATGGTATTATCCAGCTGGGATTTACATTATGCGGTGCTGAAGAACATTATGATGTCTAATTTGTTAACCCTCAATCCTTCCTTCTTCCGCTGTTCAGAAAACCCCCAAAACACATTTTCCTCATTTGTTCAACCCCTATGGCGTGGATTGGGTTCAATTTCTAGTATGTTATAGCTGATTTCAAGATCTTTCCAACAAACAGACACTTAAGGATATAGGTCCTTCTGAACCCCGGATTTTAAGGATAAATTTCCAAAATTTAAATGTTTAAAACTACGCTTTTAATTATCTAATTTAATTGATTTTAGACTCACAGGAAATGTATAGTAAAATACCAAAGTAACAATTTGGACAGAAGAAAAGCTACAGTAAATCAGTGGATTTCTTTTCACGTGGAATATTACTTACCCGGTAAAATATTCACTCTCCGTCATCTAAATAAAATCGGCTCTACATAAAATGCAAGGAAGAAACATGTGGCGACTCAATCCAATTTACGTATCATTTCAATTTTCACTTAAACCCAAAAACCGGCGAACCCTTCTTCAGAGACAAAATCCCCTCTGCAAGTCATTGGTCTCGGCTTGACCCTTCGGCTTGCGCACTTTTTGCCCCGCGTAAATCATATTAAGGAGTGCAAAAGATTTTCCAATTTCACCACCACCATATTCAGTGGGTAAATTGAAATTTCGCCTCAGTGGAGGAGAACACAAAAGGACTCTCCCGCGCCCATTTTATGAATAAATGACTCTGAGGCTGAGAAATTAAATTCTTTTTATCGTGCAAGAAAGATGATGCTCAAAATTCAAAGCACATCATTTTCACCCTCATTTTGTACATTTGACTATACACACACTTTTTTATGTGCGCGAGCGACCGGCATCGTGTGGACGTAACACGTTACATTACGATTTAATATGAGGAACATGGAGAAAATCCAAAACTTTTCCCCACTTCCCAAAGTGTGGAGAGATGATAAATAGAGAGCTGTAGCGAAATTGCTCTGTATTTTCTTGACAAATCATCGCGTCAATATAGAGTGGTGGGCCGAAGAGGGAGCAAAACTGTGTATTTGAATATCTTCTTAGTTATGCAATAAACATCCCCAATTCTGGCAATCTGTCACGTTTAGATGTCCGCCAATTTCTTTTTTCCATGCCCTTTCTCTCACTCTCTCTCTGGTCAACCCTAGTTGACAGGGTTCGGGGTGAATTTTAAGATTTTAAAATTTGTCTTTCCGATGTGTACACGAGGGCGAAAGCTGGCTCAACATGGTCAGAATACGTAATCCCGCACCAAACCTCTCTCTCTCTCTCTCGTAAATATTCACCGAAGTTCAACAATCAAGGGTTGTGTTTCGCCTTTTGCTAATGCCGAGAGAAAATCCTTGAAATATTTATTTGTCCGTTTTCTTATTCGCACGCAAATCGCGATGACACAGGGGAAAAGCCTCGTAACCCCAATCCAGCTTGACTCATACATTATCTCTTGATAGCCTCCCTTTCACCCCCAGTTCGGCCGATAAGAAGCCGGAGGATTTGGCACGATGACGTGTTTTATGTCGCGTTGATAGAATATTTCTCGCTGAATATTGATAAATTCGCCGTATAAGTGGGCAAGATAGGAATTTTATTTCTCTTTTTAAGGGATGAACTTTGCAAAGCAAACTTACCTAAGTTAGGAAAAACTGTCCACTCGTCAATCGGTCACTTATTTTCCAGAATTTTCCCTCACGCATTGTCGGGCGAAATTCCTCCTTCGGCTGCGTATTAATAGAATGGATCATAAAGTTTTCGACAGATAAAATTTTACGACCAAATAATCTTGATGCGAAATGTCCTCTTTTCCCCCTCCTTAAATTCCTTGCTGTGGAACCCAAATTGATGCCATTGATAAGCTCCAGTTAAGAGAGAATTCCACTTTCTCCGCCTACAGTTTATTGAAAACTTAATTACACATCACTTCTAATCGTAAACAAATAATTGAGAATATGTAAAATGGATCAAACAGTGATTAGATTACGATAATCCCGAGAATGGCTGGCTCATCACAGTCATTTCAGCATTCTACTTCTTTTCCTTTCCTTTATTATCTTGTAAATTCATATATTTTATCGATACATGGCGTGCGACTACGCGATTCACTCCAGCAGCGTCTTGTCGTACAAGAACTCCCCAATTGTGCCGTGCGTCTTCATCATCTTGCGCAGGGTGGAAATCTTTCCGGCGAGCTCGCGCTGGCCCTGGTACTGCTCCTCCAGGAATTCACCCGTGAGATAGTCCACCAGATGGTAGTCATTCACGTCCTTCTCGCACTCCCTGATCACCTCACGGATGCTCTTCGTCACCTCAGCCTCGAGTTTCAGCGCATCCTCCAGAGCCTCCACGCCCGAATCCCACTCCAGCTTCTTCACCAGCTGCAAATGCCAATCAAATGCGTCAGTCAGACCAAATGGAAGCCGCAGGACTTCCAGCACTTACCGGCACTTTGATGAGGTTCGTCACAAGGCTGGTCTCATTGAAGGTGTTCAAGCCACCGCGCATCAGAAGATACTCAATGAGCTTCATCGCATGTTCGCGCTCCTCCGATGCTGACTCGAAAAAGTGCTTGGCAAAGCCTGGGCGGTTCACGGTGTCGCGCGAGAAATAGGCTGCCATGGCCAAATACTTCATCGAGGCATTAATTTCCTTCTGGATCTGATTTCGTGTGCTTTCAATGCAGCTCTTGAACATGTCCAGCCATTCCGTCGGAACTTGCGGAAGGTCCAGTGTGCCTAATTCGAAATGAGCAATTGTGAGCAAACTCTCTAGAAAGATCTCCGACGACGATTAGCTTTTGTGCTGACGGGAATATTGAATGAAACATGATATATGCCAACAGAGCTTACGCAATGTTTTTCTTAATGAACGCCTCCATACTTCCGTAAACATTTCCAAGAGTTTCACAATAATATGAAAAATACTTGGCATGAGATATGGAAACTTTGCAGGTAGATTTTTCATACATTTAAATTATCAGTTTGTATTTAGGTGTCATCTTTCAAGTGCAACAAAGCTGCTTCCACTTGAAATCTTATCGTTCTCACAACATTATGTTAAGACCGTGGCAACAAAGGCTAAGGGAGTTATTCCACTCCGAATACTAGATGATTAACTGAGCACAAAGACCTGAGCACAGATTTACAAAGTCGTATTTGCACTCAATTGTGGGGTTAAATTGGTTCAAATCGAAAAGCCATGACAAAGAATACGCTTTAATGTCTTAAAAGAGCACAAAAATTCCCTTAGTTGATCAAATATTGTCATAAAAACATCACTTTTCGCTGTTTTTACCTTCTCTTCCTGCTGCTCCTGTACTCAGTGTGCAACAGAAGGATCTCTTCTTTGATAATCTATCATTTTCTATGAGTTTCTTTAAAAGAATCTTTTGTTCGTGTTGTTTAGGTCTTACATTTTAAATAAATATGTAAATATTCCGTGAAAAGATTTATTTAAAAAATATTTTTTCGAGAATGTTCTCTTAATCCAACCATTGCAATACTTTTAATATGACATTCATATTTTATTCAATGAGCAGGAAATATTTGAGCAAGGCTTTCGAGAAATTTTCCACTTCACTATCGCGCAAAGAATTCTGCAGCCATATGACTCCCATTCAAGTTATTGTCCATGTGCTATTGTCTCTCGGACAAACGCCTCGAAACATTGTCGAGAGCGCTGATAAGCGCGAGAGTGAAATTGATTGTGGAGCGTGGAAACTAGTGGAGAATATTCGAGAGATAATTGTGAAGATTCCCAATAAATTTTCTCCAGTATCTCTTGAAATTGAGGTGAAATTTATTGATGGCTAAGGCGGCAACCTCAAGATCGCTCAAGGCTGGCGACTCACACACATTCAACCAACCGAGTTTATGAGAGTGTGTGAGTGCGCGAGAGTACGAGAATCCGAGTACGGAAAGTACAAAGAGGAAGGTTATGTGGCAAATGTCAAAAAGAATGTTTTTCAGAGAATTTCTCCGTCGTACTCGAGATGTTTTGCGCTGATGCTGAGTGCAAATGATTAAATGTTGTGCAATCCAATTGGACATGAGGCGACATGACCCAATTACGCACAGGGTGGATGAGAATTGCAAGTCACTTACATTTCAGCGTTCCGGAGGCCATGAAGACCATGGAAAAGACAACGGCGATGGTGAAAAGGTTCTTCATCTTGATCTCAGAAGTGCGTACAGAAAATTTTCCACAGAACAGAGAGTTTTGTTCACAAGCGTCAGAGAGAACTCGATTGGCTTTGCGATGTGGTCAAAACCTTTATACGCACTGGTACAGAAGGGTTTCGACTGATATACTTAATCAATGGCCAAAGTGGATGGATTGGCAACAATAGACTAACTGATGAAATGCCCACGATATTCACTTATAACGAGATCGCTTCACACTGCTCGACAACGACTTTTTACTGCAAGTCGTAGAACAAATGGAAATGCCTAAACTTTCCACACGAGCCGAACAATTTCTGAAGCGTCATTAGTGGCGACCAATCCGACGGCGCGCGCGAAGGTGTGTTGGCGCGTCTGTACACGGAACTGCTGATTCATACGCGGCCACACAAAGAAATTCCGCCACTCACACACGCGCAATCTTATCAATTTGCCCCTCCATGCACGAGTGTGATGTGTGCAGCAGCACAAAATACTCAAAGGCCTGACATTTAAGTCGCCATTGCCGTGAACACCACAGTATAGTGACTATCAGTTGTGGAAATTCATATTTTGTGCACTCTTAATCTTGTTTTTTGAAGATTCTAATTGTCGAAATAAGAGGTAATCACAGGTTTTATCCTTCTGCTGAGGTAATTTGTTTGCATCCACAGCATTTCACTGGCAAATTTTCCATGTGAAATCAAGGGAGGCAAACGCACTGGCTAAATTGTCTGTTCCCGGAATTGCTCATATTTCGTCTCAATATTTGGTGAAATTCCATGAAATTTGAAGGTTCCTTTTGCAATTTCTCCGTAGGTTTCACAATGAAAATCTTCGCTGCTCTCGTTGTCATCGCTTTTGCCATTGTTGGCACCTCTGCAAATAAACATTGCTATGCGGACGTGGAGAACGCCTGCAATAACAATGGTAAGTACAATTTTTGAGCATATTTCCACCGTTTTTCCTCCCCAGTCGCCGAGAGTCATCAATTATTGATGGGTTTTATGCGGAAATCAGCCAAAAATAGCCCTCTTTTTGCCATAATTGCGCACTTGCCAGTCCGGGAAGTTGCGGGATTCTCGTACTCCCAGTCAATAATATTTTTACATGATTCACGACAGTGCTTAAGCACTCGAGATGGCCATGTCTCTTTGTTGCCATTCACTGAGTGACTAGGCAGATAATTATGCAGCTCTATTGAGAGATTGTGACATGAATGTTCGCTTCAGATCCCGACGACTCCCTGCGCAACTGCAACGCCCTGTACTCGGGCTTCGAGCACGCGGAGGCGGGCATGATGGAGTTCACTGTGATGCAGATCCAGTCCTCCTTCGAGTACCTCCTGTTGTCCACCAAGTACAACACGCACGTGAAGAACCGCCCGGGCTTCTCGAAGAAGTTCCGCGAGCTGAGCGACAGGTCGTGGAATCACGGCATTGATCTGATCAAGCACATCACGACGCGCGGCGGCAAGATGGAGTTCCGCACCGTGGAGAAGCCTCGCCTCCTGTTCGAGCACACGCTGGAGCTGGACGAGCTGCAGAGCATGGCCATTGTGCTGGAGAATGAGAAGTTCCTGGCCAAGACCGCCCACCACATCCACCAGAACGCGTCCCACGCCAATCACTCCACTCACTACGATCCCGAGGTGGCGCACTACATGGAGGAGAAGTTCATCGAGGACCAGGCGGACACCATTCGCCAGTTCTCCGGCTACGCCAACGACCTGAAGAACTTCATGAAGGAGAAGTCGCAGGTCGCGCTGTCCATCTATCTCTTCGACGAGTATTTGCAGAAGCAGTAAATCCGTGTTATGCACAAGAGAGTTAATAAAGAGTTTTTTTTGGGTAATATGTATTCGTTATAGATCAAATGCGAGCCATATGTTTTTATTTGTATTGAATAAGGAAACACAGAACGTGATAATTCCATGTAATATTTAGAATGATTGAAATAAACCTCAGAAACCAAGACCAGAATGCGCCTTATCATTTGCATTTTTCCGACTCGCCGAAAGTTCCTCTTTGCATCGCACGATAAGAGCGAAAAGCTGGGATGATTCAAGTGAAACTTAATACATGAAATTGATAAGTCTTTGAATCTGGAGCAGAGAGAAGGTCTTTGAATGGAGAATTAGCTGCGTGGTGAGTTGTTTTGCGACTAATTATGAAATAGCCTTTATTCAGCTTCTAATCACTGATCAGTTTATGATTGCATTACTGAGAAATGAGATCAAATCAAAGGCCTTAATGAAGATATAAAATTGTATAGTTAATTGCACGGCTTTTGTTCATTATTCCAAATGGATTTATTCTGTTTTTTGAGCTTATTTTATCAACAGATTCTCATTAATTTCAATGAAGGCCAAAGAAATGTTTCAATTTTTTTTAGCATAACGTATTCGGGCAAATTTCACACTTCAAGAAGGTGTAAAACATGGTCAAACGTCCAAATCAGTCGGCAATCATGCACATTATCTGATTTCTGGAACAATTAGCAAGGACAATCGATTTTATGGCTGCGCTAGTCCAGAAAGCGAAAAGATACGCGAATTAGATGACAAATGTCATTAAACCGAGCCGATTATCTTATCCACTTGATAGTGAGATTACGGAGAGATAACGAATTCGTGACTGCTCGACAATAGATTCTCGACAATGCGAATAAAGTTCACAATTCCTTTCGGATTAATTTCCAGCACAAGACGGTGATAAGAACGCATTCGCGCTTATAGAATTGAAAGGAAAAATCACAGAAATTAGTTGCACGAGTTTTAAATCAGTGAACAGTCATTCTTAGTCACACACATATTTGATAAAATCGGGGAATGACAATTACTTTTGTTCGCAATTGCCTAGTATTTTCCATCCAGGGAGATAATTAAGACAATGGCGCTTTCTCAAGTGGACGCTGGCAATCCAGCAATGTGCCGTGCCATTGCGCAATTACCAGTCATCGGCAATATTGCTGCGTTGATGGTTATTGTTTCTGGGAGAAGAGAATGCAAATAGTTCCAATTCACACAAAACACTCATTGGCAAAATCATTTTGCGATATTCCTTCTATATGGTATGCAGAAAACTCATCAATTGCGATGCCATTTTTCACTCGCTCGGCCATAAATTGATACTTTTGGGGTGTTCTCCGCTGAACCGTGGAGAGAAACATAAAATAAATGACATTCACCCGAAATGTTGTGTGTATATTGCAAATAAAACTTAATACCTGGGTTTTAAGGGAGCGAAATTCAGGGGCGAACAGCATTTGCCAAATGGAATACAAAGACCTGTATTGGTTGGGGAGCTTTTGGAATTGGACTGGAGAGTGAAGTGCAATGATTTTCGTGTAAAATATATAATTTTACAAAATGATAATTCCATATGCCATTCAAAACACCCTTTGCGCAGAGGGAAAGTTTAATTTCTTCCACACATAAAGTGCGTCTTTTTACTGGGCGATGCGGTGGGATTTTGATAATCCTCTGAGGCTGGCTGTGAAATTTTAATGTCACCAGAGAAACTGCTTCGAGAAGGTGTTTCCTGTGTGCACAATTCAATTGATAACTAGCACCCTTTATAGCCTACCGTGGAAGGCCCATAAAAATCACCCTAAGATTCCGCTAACCGACGGCTGTCGGCGGGGATTTAATGGGCTGCAAAGCGAAATGATCATCTCTGAATATCGCTGGAACTTTTCAAACACAGTGGAAAACACGCCGCATATCAGTAACGCTTTATTATTTTAAGGATATACACTGGGCGAAATGGCATAAAATGGATTTGATGGTGCATTTGTGTCAATATGACATCATCAAGACGACGCAATTTTGATGGATTCCTTTTTATTATGTATTAAGGAGAGGGCGCAAGTGAAACAGTTAACAATTTCATTACTTATTTGCAGAATGAGTCACAAAGTTCAATGCATTTACACTCACCCAGAGATATCATGTTTGTGCCTCGGTTTGTGCATTTGAGAACAAAGACTGTCGCTGAGATACTTTCATTTTTATTTACACTCAAACACACGACAAATGGTCAAATTGAAATAAAGAACACAAACTCGATGATAAAGAAGTGCAATTAAATACATTTTTGGACACATCTTTTTCTTTATTTTTGCCATAAAAGAAAATCTCATCATGGTCCATTAATAAAAATCTATAGCAAGCAAATATACAGTTTAAAGATCTCCCAAAGATTCATGGGCATTGAATTTGAGAATAAGCAAAACGTTAAAATCTCTGGAACAAATAGTTTGAATTTGCAATTTAATTGAATCCGCATACTTTGGGCGCAATCCTTAGAGTTAAATCGCAGTCTTTGGATGTAATTCGTAATATTTTGCGATATTTTTGAGACATCTTGCGATTTTACCATTTTTCTTTGGCATTTTCCTTTTGTCTCTGTCTTCCTGTCGTCTGAAGAAAGCCAAGGGTGGTTTCAGTGCTTAGAGCAAAACTCAAGAACACGTCGCATTTCCTAAATATCCAGTTCAAATATGTTGACCGGAAATCAAATGTGACACATCAAAAACATCGGACCCAATATGCTGCCCGGCAAACAATACGCTTTGCCGTTTGAGTGAAAAAAGCGAGCTCAATTTTAGGGGTGTCCACATAATTTTCACTTACAACCAGACAAGGAGGGATTCTCAAAAGGAAGTCACACTGTCCTTTTTGTTTGATCTCCACAGAGCAAATTAGTTTCTGCCGAGGCTCATTTGGGGTGGAGTGACTCCGAAAATCCATTTGGAATCCCGGATAGAGACACGGGGATTTATGTTTAAAGTGAAAATGGGGGAAAACAGGAACTCTTATCATCACTCTCTCTTCCCCCCTCGAAAAGGCACTAATTGCAATGGCCCCACGAGGAGTAATATTAAAATTACAAATCACAGCATTTTGCCAATGCAGAAGAATAGATGCGATATGGGAAGGACTTGAGGGCTTGTGGTGGAATAAATTTTGGAAATTATTATTGCTTGGTAAGACATAAACGTGATATTGTGTGTGCAACAAAGAGTCTCCATTGGCGAGCAATTGCTTCCGGCTATTTTGTCCCCTTATGGACAATAGGGATGTTCTCGTCACCGTATCTGCTATGCGGAGAATTAATTGCCGTGTTCTAATAAAATCCAGAATAACGATAAAACACAAGCACTACACACATTAATTGCCATTATGGTTAACCAGCATCTCAGCGAACGCCGTTAGACTATTTAATAAGCATATAAACATCCTTCCATCACAATATAAGACGCTCAGGGACAATTAATTCCTTTGATATGTGATTAGTTCATCTTGGCCGGGCTGTGAAGGGTTCACGCCAGATGGGATTGAAGTCTACGTGGAGAAAATATAGTTTATATGCCCGTATTTATAGAACAAACAGTAATCTTGGAAAATAGTCATGTTCCAGAACTTTCAATCAATATGGAAATTGGGCTGCTTTTTGGCATCAAAAACATCTTAATGGGTTTGAATTTCTGCAAAGTCATTAATGTTAATCGAAACTTTACGATTTTGAGAGCGCTTATTAGCCATCCGTGAATGTGTGGATGTGGAAAAGCGCGGCACAGCGCTTGGGATTTTGTGTTTTCCCAGAATTTTTAAAGATCATCCCCAGAAATTTATGCGTGCGAGTGAAGCAGAGGGTAAAATTGCAAATCTGCAAAATTGTGTGGGCAATATAACACCGCGGCGGAGATGAGAATTATGAGGATGTAGAACTAAACAGTAACATTGCATTATGCTGAAGACTGTGGATTGGGAAAAGATATGACCCTTCTGTAATGTGAACATTAATATTCGAAGAATGCTCGTTGGCAAGGTTTTGTGCTCTAATGGCTTTCCTTATGGCATGCAGAGTGTCGTATGAACGTGTGGAGCAATTTGGGATGAAATTAAAATACTTTTGTGTGTGTTTGGAAATTTCATTCTAATATTTTTCACCTCCCATTCTTTCACACTTGTATTCTTTAACTGTTGTCCACAGTTGAAAATTATTTAATTAAAAATATTTTTGACATCATTTCACTTCTGAAGGAATTCCACCCATTTTCCCAGCTCCACTTCACAATCCCTCGCCACGCTTGGGTGCGGGAAAAACCACATGGGCGACCAATGAAGCAAGAATTCCAATTAAATTTCGGACACAATCTGCATAGAGAAGGAAAAAAGGCCTCCGTTGTCACTCAGCAACGGACTTTATTTCAAGACATATTCAAACTCAATGTAGGGGAGAGCAAATGGCACCCCTTTCGCACACATAAATCGCCTGCCGTACACATTTTCGGTGCCGCTGGTCGTCTAGTTGTGTGTGATATTAATTATTTTGTGCCAATTTATGTGCAGCATGTGGGGCCTCGCAATTAATGTTGGAACATCTATAGACGCTATAGGCAGAATGTGAAGTTTATGCAAATTTCCTTATATTTCGGAAGAACTTTCACGTGTTTCTCGCTCATATTTGGCGCATCGTTATGCCTATAAAGCATAGGATGTGTTGAATTTGATTAAAAGATCCCACATGCTATTAAATTCTCGATAGTCCGATAGCATTTGCAAGTATCTCATTGGAACTGAGCCAATCTCTGAGTTCTTTCTCAAGAAAATTCTCATTTGTCCACACTTCAGTGAGCATAATGTTTGCAGAAACTCCCAATGCTTTCCCTCGAAACCCACCTACTCAATTTCAATCTTGAATATCATGGTGGTGTTAATAAAGAGTCCACAAAATGGGCTGCTTAAATGGGGTGTTAATTGTCTTTATCTCCCAAAATGTGCCTTATATTCCTTACATTCTTCTCCCTTATCTATGCTTTCTTCTTCGCTCCATTCGAACACAACTTTCACGACGAATTCTCGCTCCTTCTGGGCTCGGATTTAATTCAATACGCTGAACAGGAAAAAAATTAAATTGAATCAAAACATGTCAATCAATAATACGGAAAAATTGACTGGAAAGCTTTTAGTGCA